TGGACCCAGGGCTAGGCATTCAGTGTGAGGGAGGCTGTGTGTCAGGTCCTCCAGCCCTCAGGAGACCATCTGCAGCTGCTCTTCCTCCATCTATCTCCCTTTTAGCCATTTTACTGCTCATTAGAGGCAGTAACAGGAGGTAGGCTGGGGAAACATAAAGGAACTGAAATCCAAACCAGTCCATTTTACTCCAGTTAGGTGCCTCCTATAAACCTAGGCAGGATATCATCATCCAGGACCTCCCCATACCCTGTGCTGGGGAGGTCTAAGCACCATGAGCAGTCAGGCACAGCAGAATGTCAGGACCCCAGGCATCAGGATCCTGTGCTTCTAAACTTCATCTACTCTTGATCATACAGGGTATTGCTCATCTTTTCAGGGTTAAAAAGCACTTTGGTCTTGAGCTCGCCTATCAAATCAAAGCTGAGAGACTTGCAGGGTGGGGGTGCTGGAGCTGCCCTGAGAACCCAAGCACACCCTCCTTGTCCCTTCAAAGAATGGTAAGTTCACAAAAGAAGTGAGCTTCCCAGACTGTGCTAGCCAATTCCCATAAATATCTGGGTCGGGGTAGCACTGCTTATGTAAAATGCTTCCCCATTGAGAGATGCTGCTTTATTTACATTCTTCACAACCCATTCATAAAAAGGAGGTCTTTTAATGTAGAGGCTGTTCACATAATGTTCCATAAACTCAGCAGCTTCGGCTGGCAACCTGAATTCAGCACAGGCTACTTTTCGACACTCCAGATTTTTTTTAAGGTTTTTTGGCTCCTCAGTGACTCACCTTGTGATAGGACACTGAGGCCAGACATTGCTAGATCAAGGCCAAAAAGAGTAAGAAAGATAAAATGAAAATATGAAGTCCTTTTGAATGTTGGGACAGAGAGATGGGGAGGAATGAAAATAAATGTTTTGCAAATTCCAACAGAACTCCAATTTGAAGTACGCATGCTAGGAGTTTGAATTTCTTCCAGGTCTACTAAAATTTCCTCTGTGGATGTCAAATACTCCCTCACCTCATACCTTTAAATACTAGAAAAGGTGTGAAAGGCACTTTTTCTAATTCAAAAGAAAAAGAGAAAGGAGGGCTCTTTCAGGATTTTTAATTTGCATTGTGGATGAATAAACGGGAATTTTCTCTCCTTTGGGATAGACATGTTCTAGGAGCTGCTAGCTCCAAAAGGGGAGCCCAATTTGCTCAGGCTAAAAAGACAGGCAATCCCCATGAAAAAAGGAAGAACTATGTTCTAAGACACACAGCCAAAACATCATGAGCAGCCGAGAAGAATGCCCAGGAGAGGCATTCTGAGATAGCTTTTCCCCTGCTACAGTCCGGGAGAGAAGTAGTAGGGATTTTTTTTAAATTGACAAGGGAGAGGTCTACATCACCATGACAACTGTGAGGGGAAATGGTAGCCCATTAACCATCAAACTGGGGCACAAAAAGGGAGGTCTGGGGGTGAAGGGGTGGACACAGAATATGTTTCTCACTATACAGTCTCAAACTAGTCCCCTTACCAGTCCTCTTTCCCACGTCCCTTAAGGTTGATGGAAAGTTCTGAGAGAACACAGCTTTCCTTTCTGATAGGGCCAATGCCGGGCAGATCATGCCACCAGTGTCAGTGATGCCCTCAAAACATGTTCTACAAAATGAATCCTAAAGTCTCATACAAAGGCCAGACTCAGAATTATTGTTCTTTTCTATTCTCAGAATCATGTTTTTTTCCCTCATTTACACCCAGTTTGAAAAGAGATAAAACACATGGATTCATTTAGCACAGACTAGGAAAATTGCATAAGAACAGCAACAGAGACTAGGCTGATGGGACACGAGAAAAACAGGATTATAGTCTTTTTCCAATTCACGTCTACATGGTGTTGTGTGAGCAATACACAGAATGGAGTTTGTTAGCAGCAATATCAGAAATGCCAGCTAAATTTCCATGATAGAACACCTAAACACGCCCTGCCTATATGCCTTTGACAGAAAAGGTCAGAAACGTCCAAAGACTCCACACTGAACATTCATGGAGAAGCCAAAGGGAAGGTTTTCCCTCTGTTCCCACTCACCTAGGCTGCCAATTGCATCTATTCGTTCAGCACAAACACGCACAGATTGGGGGCACTTGCCTAGTAAGTATGTACAAAGTGCTGGGTTCAGTCCTTAGCACTACTTAAAAACAATACAAAACAATGTGCACAGTATTATATGAGAAGTACTGGAAGGTTCTCACACACACACACACACACACACACACACACACGCACGCATGCACGCACGCGCACGCTTACACACACACACTTAACACTCATATTGCCCGTCTTTATCTGCAAAACCACTCAACATACAGTGTTAGAAAATCCCCAAGCTTAGAGGTCAATGACTACCTTGGCCTCAGTAGTCTGAGCAACAGCAAGAGTATAGATAAGTGGGAAGAAGAAAGAGGGTGGGAGCAGTAGGATCAAAGGTACAGGGAGACAGCATGCATGGATGGCATGGCTGGGGAAGAGCCTCAAGGACACTCTCTGGGGTCAGACTGCAGAGAAGCCACCACAGTTTTGTGGGTGGGGGACTTAAAAGAACATTCTAGTAGCTGTGTACAGAGGAGTCAGGAAGCAGGAGGGAAAATGAAGATGTGATGACAACAACATAGGCCTAACAGAAGACAGTGGAGCAGAGTGGAAAAATGAAAGGGAGATCAAAAGGGAGCCCATCACCAGTTCAGTTACCCAGAGCCAGCCCACCTAAACACTGGTCTGACTCAGGAGTCTCTGGCCAGGTTAAGAACCTTATCAAAGAAGGAAATGCTATTTTGGCAACTTCAGTTCACATTCCAGCAGCCAGACCAGGTCACCCTTTTAGACCGCTACCAAAAAAAAAAAATCACATACTGTTTAACCCCACAGAAAGCACAAAGGCTTTCAGCATTCTCTATATTTTAGACATACAATTAAATGCTCTCAGAACAAACTTAAATCTCTTGCATGAAATAATACTACTCTTTCTCACAAGCCTCAACTCCACCCAGGCTGGGGTCTAGAGTCTACTGGGAAGGGGTGTAAGTGTGGCCATGAATTAATTCCACAACCTACCATCCCCTCTGGCACTAATGACAGGCCGCTTTGGCAGGGTGGACATACAGTGAACCACAGGCAAGAGCAGCCCCACAACAGTGTGACTTGTGCCCTGATTCTCTGCAGAAGCACCTTTTGAACAACCTGGGTTTCCACGTTTTTATGATCTTGGATTCTCCTTCAGTTGTAGGCTCATATGAAATGGCACAAAAACTGAGTGTATATTTTGACAAATGGGTAAGCAACATCCAACTTTAGAAAACTGATCATGGATAGGGTTAGAGACACAGCTTAAACTAGTGGTTCCCAAGTACGCTCCAGCTGGCCAAGGACAGTGGTGTCCTTCTGAGACATGTGATTCCTGAGGCCCTTCCCTGCATTTTGTGGAAGATGTGGAGGTAAGGAGGGTGGGGAGGAACATGTCAGATGGCACAGAGGAAAAGGATTTAGAAACCTTATTTTATTTCATCATTATATTTCTGCCTGGATTTATAAACTCATTCCCCTGCCTGAAAACCTTTTTGGCAAAGGTAAAGTGCTGCCAGCAGTAGTGGCGGGACAGTCAGAGCACATTTGGAAGTTGTCTCTGGTCCCAATCAAACTAGTCAATTGCACTCTTAATGCCCACAATGGGTGACTAGGAGACATCCAGGTGGAGTTACACCTCTGCCTGTAGGTAGACTCTGCCTGCTGAAAACCCCTCAATGCTAGGCTCTAAGAACAGCTTACAGGACTGCCGCCTCAGTGAGACCAGCTCTGTCGCCACCGGCCAGGCACACTGTGCGCACACTCCCACCCTGCCCCTCCGTCTTGGCCAAGTCGACCCCACTCTTCCCAGAGCCGCGAGGCGATCAGAGCGGCTGGAGAAGAGAGCCAGTGCCGCAGCTCCTCCCGGCGGGTGCCCGGGAGCCCGCAGTCTCGGTCTGAGTCTAGCCGCGTCGCCTACCTCTCGGGGTGGGTGCACTGGACCTGGTCCCCTCCCAAATGCCACTACCTGTGCCCGCGCCCGGGCGCCGCCTTTGTCCGGCGCTTCACCGCCAAGCGGGCCCCTCGGGCCCAACCTGACCCGGCCCCCGGCGGAGGAGAGGCCGCGGGGCGGTCTGGGCAGGACAAGGCCGAGCCGTGAACACAGGGTCCCGCTGTCACTTGGAGTCGGTCTGACAACTTCGATTCCCCCCGCCCAACCTCGGACTCGGAAGCCGCCCCGCACTGTCCCCGCTGGGCCTCCCGCGGCCCACACTCGCTTTTCGCACCGGTCCCCTTCCGTCTTCGGCGCCTCCCTTCCTTCCAGCCCGATCGGATCAGGTCTACACTACCCCCAGCCCTGGGCGGCCCCCATTCCCGAACCACCTCCTCCCCCCGCAAGGAGCGGTCAGTTCCCAGCGCGGGAGGGCGCCCCCCACCCCGGGCGGGCGATCCCGCGGCGCCGCCCCCGGCCGCGGCCCCTTGCTTCAAGGACCGCGATGGGGGAGGGGGCGCGGCGGGGACCTCGCCGCCCGCGCACTCGGGAAGCCGGCTCCGCAGCAGCTAGGAAACGACAGGAGTCCTCCCGCCCTCCGCAGTCCGGGACGCCCGCGCCTCCGCCGCCGCCGCCGCCGGCCGAGCTGCCACCCAGCGGCCGCCACCCACCCCGCCCCCGGCCTGCGAGGCGCGCAGCCCCCGGGGGCTGTCACCTCGACGCGCGCCGCGCTCCCCGATGGCGGGACCGTGGCGCCGGACCCTGGCGAGGGAGGCGGCGGAGCAGGCGGGCGGCCGCACCTGCTCCGCGTCGTCCGTCCGTCTCTTCCCGAGCTGGCGGGGGTGGCGGCGAGCTCGGTGGGGCTGCGCTGACGGGCGGCGGGTGCTCTCCCCTTCGCTCGTCCGCCTACCTCGCTTGCTCCCGCCCGCTCGCCCCTTCCCCCTCCTGGATCCCAGCCCTTAGCTCACCGGGACGGGCGTCGCAGACCGCGCTGCTCTGGGCGCCCGCAGGCCCCGGCCGGGCTGGAATCCGGCGGCTGGAACCCCCCGGGGGCGCTCAATTCCCGGGCTCCACGCTGCTGCGTCAGCGCCTCCTCCTGGGGGCCGGGGCCGGGCGGGCGGAGCGGGGGCCGGAGCCGGGCGGGGCCGTCGGGGGGGCGGGCACGCCGGCCGGGGCGGACGGCCGGTGGAGGCCGGACGGGCGGGGCAGGCGGCCGGACGGGCGGGCGGCGGGGGCCGGGCTCCGGGATCCGCTACGCCGCTCGCGGTTCCCCCACAAACTCCCCGAGAGCGGAGCCTCCGCCGCCCTCCTTCCTGCTTCCTCGTCCCTAGCCAATCGCTGAGCGCCCCTCGGCAGGCTCCGCCAATCAGCCGCCCCGCCCTGCGCTGGCCCCGCCAGCCAATCCGGCCCTCGGCTCCCCCTCCCGGTCTCCGACCAATCAGAACCGTGGGTCGGTCGTCCCAACGCAGGGGGCAGCACGAGGCTGCCGGGGGAGGCGGTGCACTGAGTGGTGGGGCCTGGGGGGAGGGGTACGGTGCCAAGGGTGGTGGCGGGGTGGGGGGTAATTTTCTTTGCCGGCTTCTTGGATTTTTCTCTTAGTCTCCCAAGCCTCAGCCCATATCCTACGGTGACCCGACCCTGAAACCCCAAACCCCCGGCTGTAGCACCCCCCGGAGAAATCCCATTTCGCCCCCGCCCAGATCGTTGCCTCTCCGCATCCCTCTTTTCCCTTACCCTTCTCTCCAGCGCCCGCTGGAGAAAACTGCGGGCCAAAGGACATCCCGCCCTCTCCGGAGGCTACTGCCCCCAGGGCAAAGCTTCGGGAAGACTGGCCCCGAATCGGACGAGAACACCCCCCCCCTTCCCGCAGAAAGGGCCCCAGACTCCAGCGAAAGGGCCCCGACTGCTAAGAAGCCCCTCCTGCCCTTGCCTCATCTTTCCGACTTCCCTGCTTGCCACGTCTCCTTTCCTTTCTAGCAAGGTCGGTCCTAGCCCGGTAGTCCTGCACCCGCATCTCTTTTTCCTCTTTCTACCCTTCGCCCACCGCCCCCATCCCAGTTCCCTGTTCACCCTCTTCAGAAGCCGGGTGTAGAACCCTCATCCATTTCCAGCTGACAGCAGAGCCCGGTCTGTGAGTCCTTGACACCCACACACCCTTTACCACCACCGCGGGGAACATCAGAGCTCTCCGGGGGAGGGTAGGGGCGGGCGGGCAGCCTGACAGGCGCGGCTGGACTCCCTCCTTCGCGTCCCCAAGCCAAGATGGGACCAAGTGGAAACACTCACCTGGCTTCCCCTAGTCCCTGCTTGCTGTGGCTCAGTCTCACAGACGTGCCTATCCAAGCCCGAGCACGCTCGCGGGGTCAGCAGGGTGGGTGGGCACCGCAGGCTCGGGTCACCCAGAGGTGTGGGATGTGCCTGCGAGGTGCACAGGGGGCCGTATCCTCGACTCCTTGGAGCGCCAGAGCCTGCGCAGGACTTCACTGCAACAAACACAGGATGTGCACACAGTAGGTTCTTAAGAAATGCTGAGTCCACCCCTGAACAAAGCCTCATTCTCAATTCAGGCGGGGGAGGGGAACTTTAGGAGGTGAAAGGACCGGCTGCGAAGAGTAGTGTCAAGTCACCCAGTGCTGGGAGCAGCCAGGAGGGGCTGGGCCCAAGAACGCCTAGGGCAGAGAGAAGCTCCCAGAGTGCTCAGGCGCCTGGGTGAGCAGGGTGAACCCGCCGCAGTGTGGCTGAGGGGCTTCTGCAGCCTCCAGTGGCCAGCCTTACCTAACCTTGGCACTCAAGCAATTGCCCAGGTAGCCTCTTAGAATCAGGGCAGCTAGCCACTGTAGCTGGGAAGTAACACTCCCAGACAGTTGCCTATCCGCCTCCAAAAGGTCAACAGGGACCCAGCCTGTCTTAGCAGTTTGGGTGTGTGTGGGGTATTTAAAGAAAGGGCCTACAATGATGTGTGGCATGGAAGACTTTTAAACAGCCAAGTTCTTCCTGAACAACTGCCTGCCCTTCCAAATCCCACCTTTAATGGAGCAAGATCCCCTAAATCTATAAAAGTAGGACATTAAAGAATTTCACCCTTCTCTGAGCCTCCCAGGACAGATTCTTAGAGGTAATGCCCCTCCTTCAGCACACACCAGGGAGCCCCTTCTCCCCACCTCAGAATCCCCTCTCCCTGTCCCAATCTGTCACCAAGTCCACTGGAGCCCCTGCTCCTCTTCAAAAATCGGTGGTAGTATCAGCAGTGATGGGCGTTGGGAGTTGAGCTCTGCCACAAGCTGAGGCAGAAGGGGGCACAGACTTCCCAGCCTCAACCTTGGCAGCTGCTTTATGCCTGGCAATGGATTGAGGATTGAGGCTGAAAGAGAAGAGAAACATACCTGGTCACAGGAAAGGAGACCCAAGGAGCAGGAAGTTCATGCTCAGCCTAAGAAAGAATACAGTGAGGTTGCAGGAGTGGATTCTCCCTGTCATCTGAGGGTAAAAATCCAGGGTCCTGGGGTAGGAGAAAAAGAGCAGTCTTATTTGGGGCCTGGGTGGGAGGGAAAGTCGGGAATCCTGACTGGAGAGGAGGCAGAGCCCACTCCAGCTACCTAGCCTGCCCAGCCTGCTTGGCAGCCAGAGAAATACTGCTGCAGAGCCTCCCATGTGGGTGGCTGTCTCCTTTGCCCCGGGAGGCTCTGGCTCAGTGGGCTGTGCTTTGGGGACATGGGCTTGCTAAAGGCACTTGATGTTCCTTCGGTGCTGCCCACTGGTCTACCCCTGCACTCCCAGTCCCACTGATGCTGTTGAAGCTGGTAGGCAAGTCAGTGAAGAGGGGGGCCAGGGGAACACATCCTGCCTGTTCCCTAAGGGGAACTCTCCTGTCCTTCACCCCACTTCCAGGGACCTCTGCACAGGACTCTCTTGCCTTCCATATCTGGAAAGGGCTCCACCTCTACCCACTCCCCTCGGCTCTCCCAGCCGTTTCAGACTGGGTGCTGCCCCCACCCTATTCCACTGGAGCAGCCTCGCCTTGCTTAGCCTATCAGCTTTCTTCTCCCTGGTGGCCCAGTAGCCCAGAAGCCCCCTATTAGAAAGGTTTTGCCACTTGGTCAGGAAAGTGGAGGGATCCCTCAAGTCTCCATGGCCATCCCTGCTGTGCATCCAGGCAGGGGTTCCCTCACCATCAGGAAGGGTTAACTGCCTTGGAGCGGGAGAGTGGAGGGAGATGCAGAGAGGAAAACATCCAGGGCCAGAGAACACGCTGCACACCCCTCCCCCACCACACAACCAGACCGACAGCCGGGACAGACTGGCTGCTCCGTCATTCCCAGTCCAGTCCACTAGGCACCCCCCACCGCCGCCGCCACTGCCGCCGCAGTCTCTGCAGACCGCATGCCCTCTTATCCAGCCACCTGGCACCGGGCAGGGCACCCTAGAGGATAAAGCGCAGTCCCCGAGATGGTGGCAGTGACCACCTTCTCTTCCCTCCATTCAATGCCCAGATCCCCCTTTCTTTCCTGGGAGTCGGCAGATTCCTACCCCCAGCACCTGAACTCTAGATCTCAGGAACTCTGCCCCATTGGACAAGGTAAAGGGCACCTTGCCCGGGGGAGGGACACCAAGGCAACCATTGAATTCAGCTGCAGCACTCGCCCCCTCCCCCATCATAGGATGCCCCCGGGGGTGGGGGAATAAAGAAAGCTGGACTTTTATAGTCCTTTTGCTGTGACCCACTCCCTCTTAAAGGGATCGGAGCACCCCTCCTTAAAGGGATCTTCAGAAATTATTTGCCCCCAGGCAAAACTAAGCATTGCTGAGGCCCCCATCCTTACTTGGGAAGGCAGAAGTGCTCCCCTGCAACAGAACAGAGAAGCAAGGTCCCCCCCCCCCACCTTGTTACCAAGGAGCCTGTTGTTGAGTGCCCAGCAAAAAACAGACCTCTCCCTCCCCTAAGGGTACCCATTGCAACAGCCTGGGGCCAGGAAATCAAGGCGAGGTAGGGGTCTTTGTGGGATCTAGTTTCCACAAACTAGCTAAAAAAGGGCTTGCCTACAAGTTCGCAGAGTTTGGGGACCACATGCTGTGGCTCTGTGTCCCAAACCCCCATCTGTCCAGCGCTAGACTACGGATTCCTGGCCAGGGGAAGTCTGCAGGCTGCCTCTCCTAGCAAAAGCTGTTTCTGCATTCTCCTTCCCTCTCAGAGACGTCCGCCTGACTCTTGCCCTCTTTGGGGCCCCAGGCCTTCCCCTTGGGGTGCATTCTCTACCCCTCACCTAAGTTGCCTCTACTGCAGCCCCAACAACTGCTAACTACACCCCATTTCGGGTCCCTTGTTGCCCTAGTCGGCGTGTCCCGGGGGTCCGTCTCCCAGCTGTGCGCACACCACACACACACACACACACACACACACACACACACACACGTGTCAAGGGCTGGGGGATGGGTTACACCTCGGCTCCCTGGAGGCCAGCGGAGCCGCATCCTCTCCCCGCCGCCAACTGGGCACCTAGTCTCAGCCTGCCCTTGAGGCTGCAGGGTTCGAGGAGGGATGGGTGTGGACAGCAGGGAGGGGCCCGAGGGTACACTGGTCTGAGCGGAGCACGGTCGGAAGCCACTCCATCTGCCCTCGGCCGTGCACCGAGAATGGGGGTCCCGGGGGAGGGAGGGCTGCCCCGAGCCTGCCTACTGAGGCCCCCGCCCCTGCCACTCCCGGGAGGAGCGACTCCCCCAAGGACTGGGGCTGAGCCCTCCCCCGGCAGCTGCGGCAGCCTTCGGCGGAGGTCAGGCTCCACCCCTTTCTCCGGAGGGAGAGCGCGCTGGGTTGTTTATTGTTGGGGTGTGCGAGGGAGAAGGTTCGCGATCACCTGGCTGGGTGGGCACCACTCGGGGACGCGAGCGCAGCTGGGTGGGCCGGCTGCGGCTGCAGTGGAGGCGAAGGGCCGGCCTCCCCACCCCCACCCGGAGGTTCTAGAAGTGCGGCCCACCCGCCGCCGGGTGGATCTGCCCGCGCTGGGCTGGCCCGAGGGTTACCACGAGGAGCCGGGCTTCCTACTTTCAAGAGGCTTCCAGTCGGGACTGGCGTGGGCTGTGGGTAGAGGGACAGGGAGACAGAGAACAGGGC